GTTGTTTTTTTTTTTTTACCCAGTTGACAGTTTATCATTGCGATAGGGGGAATTCGCAGTCTTTCACTTTTGATTCTAAGTTACACTTGATCTTATTAACTGTCTTTTCACTTTGTTCATTATTTATATATGTGAGTTTTTCTACTTTCTTAATTTTGCCATATATTTTCAAGTTGATATTCATTTTCCATTTTCCCTTGTTTATGTGACAGTTCTTCACTTTTCACTTTCATAATTGCACCATTCCTTTCTAATTGCTCATAAATCCAATTTTCTTCCACTTTAACATGAGAAAAAGATATCAGCACTTTCTTTGGGGTTGAGGTTGAGCTGTTAGGGGACTTTAGGCTGTTGGAACTCTGTAAGTGATGAAAGGTACAGGCATCTCAACCTGCACAGTAGCAACAAGCATATTATCTATTTCTTGTTTATACACCTAGAGGATTCTATGCCTTCCTTCTGATCTGCTTACATTCTGCAGCCCTAAGAGCAGACTCTCCTCCTGTATCAAGTGCCTTCTGAGTGCTGGGAAGGCTGGCCATACTTGTGTATGCAAAACTCTTCTGGAAGCTGGGCATGGTGGCACGTGTACCTGTCGTCCCAGTTTCTTGGGAGTCCAAGGCAGGAGGATCACTTGAGCCCAGGAATTCCAGGCTGTAGCATGTAGTGATCATGCCTATGACTAGCCACTGCATTCTAGCCTGGGCAACACAGCAAGACCCCATCTGTAAAAAAACAAACAAACTCTTTTGGGTCAAGCAGAGCAAATCCTGCACCAGTTATTTTTCTCAAGATGCCCATAAGCCTGTGGCCACATTCTTCAGGCCACTGCCTGCTACCCGCAAAGCTGACTAGTTCAAGAGAGGTAAATGGGGTTGGATTTGGGATTGAAGTGGGAAAAGTAAATCAAATTCAAGGTTTCCCCTGACCCCAGAATTCTGAATTTTAATACTCCATTTGTAGTTTCAGTTAGCAGTAATTGTGCCTCGCATAAACCTCACTGGCTACGATACTGCCACTGCACAGAACTATTTGTAGTTTCAGATGGCATGTCACTCCTCTGTGTTATTCATTGTGTGTTCAATGACATTAAAGAGGAGACTTTTATTTCGGAACCTTATCTTTGACTATCATGGTTTTTCCTGTCCCTACATATGCATAACCTCTTGGACCACACTACAGTTTTTAGGAAGCGTCCTTGTAAAAATGCAGTTTGAACAAATAAACTTCTCAGAGAGTTTGTTGGTTTCGATAAGTAAAACTCTTCTGAGAGAGTTTGTCTATATGCAAATTTCATTGAACAAAATATGATTGATCTGAAATCTTTCACGAGACAGAAGCCAGTTAAAGTAGGACAGAGACCAAAAATAAGAGGGATGGCCAGCGGGAAGAAACAGGAGCCAAGAATCAGCTATGAGTTGTCAGTGGTTCTTAGAAATAGACATGAAGATAACATGGAAACTGAAAGCCACATATAATCAGAAAACCTTATTCTGGCCAGTAGTTCCGATTTTTTTCTTAAGTCCTCTACTTGAGTTGCTGACAGGTAGTATTAGAAGAGATTAAACATTAAAGATACCCATTCTGTTCCAAAAATTTAAAAGAAGGAAGCATTCAGTGCAATCTGAATAGATGAGAGAAAATGTTATATCCTATAGTCACAGGTTGTAAAGTTAGTGCAAATATATGTATATTTATGTTTAAACAATCATTTGCCTTAAATATTTGAGATTTGAATTATGCACACATGCTCTCTGTGTTACATTGCTTGATATTCAGTTTGTCCTAGTCAGCCTCAGGCAAAGAGAATTTGAATTATACATGTGTAAACTTTGCATTGAATGGTAATTAGTCTGTGCTGCTCGGTGGTACTTAATATTGAGGTTAATGGTTAATTGAAAAATTTAAAAAGCCAGTGACAGGACCCCCATATATATAATATATTATATATATATCTCAAATATACATTATATATTTATAATTTTTATATATTTACATATAATGTATAAAAATATCAGATAGGCTGAAAATCAGTGAAAGCTTTTAATCTGTGTCAGTGATAATTTAATGCCTGGCTGTGTATCTGAGCCACTGTTTTACATTTATTACATGTACAAACATGGAGACTGGTGACAAGACCCCCATATATAAATATATGATATATATAAATATCAGATAGATAGACTGAAAATCAGTGAAAGCTTTTATTCTGTGTCAGTGACAATTTAATATCTGGCTGTGTATCTGAGCTACTGTTTTACATTTATTACATGTACAAACATGGAGACTGGTGACAATATATTTGAACTTTGACATTTGTCATGGGCCCAGGCCAAAGAAACTGCTGCCTTAAAAACTGCTCTCTCTCCTTTTATTTTTTACATTTTATTTAAGACATTGTTATGGAATGTATTTGTCCTCATAACTTTTGTTCTCTTAGCTTAAAGATTCTTGAGGTGGTAATTACAAAAAAGGAAGGAACAAGATGTCTGGGTCACTTGCTTATACCAAGATTTGTTGAGTGGATAAAAAGGTAACAGTAGACATTCAATACCCGAACCAACATGAGAAGTAAAACATTATAAAAAGATGTATTTCTAGAGTTTTGTACCTAGCATTATATGCATGTAATTAAAAAAGGAACTTAACTTTTTTATGACACAAGAAGCTGCGTCAGATACTAATGTGTACCGTAAATTTAAGAATTCCAGTTTGTTCTAAAGAAGGATTTTAAAAATACATCATGGAAGGACCTATACAGAAATTTTATTTTCCTTCCTGGTACTAGAATATTGCTGTTTTTTAATACTTAACATTAGAGATATGTTGGTAGGTTAAAAATTGTATGCTTTTAAAACTTATTTACAAAATATATGTATAGTACTTCATATAGGTTGAATATTAAACAGCGATACTTGAGTGTTCTAGAGCCATCATTAGAATACTGACTGCAAATTTTCAAAATTCAGTGGGTCAACAAGCCAGTTGAAAAAAACTCAAGGATATTAGATTTCAAAATGTTCTTCCTTAATTTAATTTGTCCATTATACTTTATTTTAATTATTCATAGTATTGCTTAACATGACAGGAAATGTCTTGTAATAGAATTTATAAAATAATGAAGTTTCAGTAATATGAATCCTATCTTTAGAATTTTCCTTTTAAATCTCAGATTATGATGTTTTCTAAGGAATTATCTAATTTGATGCATAAAAACAAGTCTTTGCTTAGTAACTTCATCCATTTTAGAATTTTGAAACCACTCCAGGAAATAAATGGAATAATTTTGTTATGTGTCATTTTGTTGTTGAGCAAGCAAGACAAAAAATGTATTAAGAAACCAAAAAATATATTTCTACTAATATAGAACAATAAGTTTTCATTTGGATATTGTTTTGTGATGCTTATACATGTACCTATGTATATATTTTTCATTGTTTTGTTTTTGCGTAGACCCAATAAGTAGATTGTTCATTTTAGTGAAAAGCATAGCCCCTGCTTGCTTATTGTCCTGTGTCATGCTAGATATTTAAGGAACATAGGATTGGTTTACATATCATTGGGCTTAAGTGGGTGAGTTAGAGGTGAAAGATAATAAGCAAGCCTGAAGATGTAAATTCCAGTTAAAAATTTGGACATTTATTTGTCTTTGGTTCCATTAGGAGGTGGAAGTAAGCAAGAAAGAGCTCTTCTTTTAGTATTGATGTGGATTTTTGCATGTCCAGGATCTACTCTGTTTCTTATTCTTACTATTAATGGTAGAGGTTCACAAATATGGTAAGTATGGACTTAGATTTTGTTCCTAAACAGAAAGATTATATATAGGTTATATATTCTGATGTGTTTATATGAGTGGAAAACTTGATCACATTTAAAATGAAATAGGCAGCTATTACCTCTTTTCTCATGATCATAACACAGTAATTGCTAAAGACTTTCTAGTCCATTTGATGGTTAGGTGAAATCTTTGTTCTATTAACTTTCTTTTATCTTTTTCCTAGTGGGTGAGAGATATAGTTCTTAATTGATGAAATTTTGTACAGCATAAAAATAATTGCTTTTTATCTCAAATTGAGAATTCCTTTATTTCTTTTGGGGGGTTTTATGGTTCCTTATATTGCAAAGCCATTTGAAATTTAATGTAATCTGACCTTACTGTGTGAAGCTGGGCTATTTTTCTGCCTCCTTCTCAATCTTGTTCTATAGCTGGGTGTTGTTCCCCAAATACAATCCGTGCTTTGCTCCCTGTTGTTTTAGTTTATTCTGGTCCTTGGTCTCTTAAGTACTTTTCCATTCTTTTCATTCTAGTAATTGCCTGTTTATCCTCCAGGACCTAATTCAGATGTTACTTCTTTATGAATTTTTGAACTATTCTTCGCCCTATGCTCCCAACAGAATTAAATAGTTCCCTTCTTTTGGTTGTCGACAACTATCAATCTTAGATATGTCATAGTCTTTAAGAGTGGGGGCCATGTCTTATTCATCCTTGTATCTTCTTGGACAAGCAGCAGTTAACATTTGTTGAATCGAAATGTTTTAAAACTCCATGCTTCAAACGATTAAGAAAACAGCTTTCCTCATTACATTCTTTGATAATAACCTACTGTCACTATGTTTCTCGCATATACTATTCTCACCTGTTATATTGTGGTTTTTGGTTTATATTAAAATGTTTTTGGTATTTTAATGATAGCTTGAGAGCAATAAAAGAAGGATCATTTTATGTAGATCTCTTTTGACTCTTCATTGCTATTTAGTTTTGAGAGTTTCATTTTCTTCTCCCTTTTTTGCAGGACCCTAATAGGAGTATTCATACCAGCAGCAGCAGCAGCAGCAGCAGCAGTAGCAGCAGCAGCAGCAGCAGCAGCAGCAGTAGCAGCAGCAGCAGCAGTAGCAGCAGCAGCAGCAGCAGCAGCAGCAGCAGTAGCAGCAGCAGCAGCAGTAGCAGCAGCAGCAGCAGCAGCAGCAGCAGCAGTAGCAGCAGCAGCAGCAGTAGTAGTACCAGTTTTTCAAAGCCTCACAAATTAATGAAGGAGCACAAGGAAAAACCTTCTAAAGACTCCAGAGAACATAAAAGTGCCTTCAAAGAACCTTCCAGGGATCACAACAAATCTTCCAAAGAATCCTCTAAGAAACCCAAAGAAAATAAACCACTGAAAGAAGAGAAAATAGTTCCTAAGATGGCCTTCAAGGAACCTAAACCCATGTCAAAAGAGCCAAAACCAGACAGTAATTTACTCACCATCACCAGTGGACAAGATAAGAAGGCTCCTAGTAAAAGGCCACCCATTTCAGATTCTGAAGAACTCTCAGCCAAAAAAAGGAAAAAGAGTAGCTCAGAGGCTTTATTTAAAAGTTTTTCTAGCGCACCACCACTGATACTCACTTGTTCTGCTGACAAAAAACAGATAAAAGATAAATCTCATGTCAAGATGGGAAAGGTCAAAATTGAAAGTGAGACATCAGAGAAGAAGAAATCAACATTACCGCCATTTGATGATATTGTGGATCCCAATGATTCAGATGTGGAGGAGAATATATCCTCTAAATCTGATGTGAGTAGTTCTTATTGGCTTTCTTCCTTTCCCTTATTTTCAGATTTTATTTCAGATAGCTTTGTAATAAAGAATGGGGGAAGAAAATGAATGCTGAACCATAAAGTGGTAGCACAGGGGTAGATCTGGCCTAGAAATGCATTTCCTTAATTAATGGGAAGGAGGAAATGAAGTCATTAAGGAATCTGCAGATTTTTAGGCTGTTACTTAAGTTGTTAAAGGAAAGATATTTCCATAGCATAATAATGGGTCATTTGAATAGCAGCAGAAAATTTCGGTGCTCATCAAAGCTTGGTATCTGTGCTTTCCAATGAGTGATGACTTAGGAAAATGAGAAGAATATAATAAGACTTGAATACAAGGGAAAATAAATTTAAAAGAGAAACTTAGAAAATATTAGGGCTATAATATTGGTGTTTTGATCATTGGAATGAAGTGACATGTTTATGTTGATAGAAGGCTGGTGACAGTATTTTTTTTAACCAGTTTTATTGAGGCAAAATGATGTAACAATATACTATACATATTTAAAATGTATAATTTGATAAATTTTAACATTTGGGTATACCTGTAAAACCTGGCAGTAGTATTTTGAAAAGAGAATATTTAATTTTTTTCTTCATTGTTTAGCCACTGATTTGGAAGAGGTGGGGTATGTGATCTTCACTACAAGTTTTTGCTGATCAGTAGGATTATCCTTTGTGGAGGCCTAAGAGAGCATCTGACCATCTAATACCCCAAAAGGTGTTTTTTGATATTGGGGTTTAAACTTATAATTACAGATTTTCAGCAGTGGAAGGGATTGTCCGATTATCTATTTTAACCTCTGTAATAAACCTTACGCTTCTAGTGACAGGGTTGTTACTAATTCAAAAGTATTTGATAATGTTTTTGAAGAATAAACATTACTTTGAAGTTATCTCCTTACTTTCGTAGTTTTTCTAATTTTGGCCTTTTTTCAGTTACTTATTAGTAATGATCAGTCCCAATAATCTCCTTACATTGGCTTGACCGTATTTCCAGGCAGTGGTCAAGGAAGCTATCTGGCTAAAAAATTACTGGCAATCTTAGAATACTTTTCTTTCTGTCCTTGGGCTGCCCACAGATGTCTCTAGTTTAAATGCTGGCAAAGGCTAGAAGGCTGTAGTAGCAGATTTGCTGTCCCGGGTTTGCACTGTTCTGGGTAGAAAGCCAGTCAGGGTCAGGACATGGTGCTGACACTGATCCCCAGTGGTCCACAGACCTCCCTACTCTCTATAGCTAATCTCGAAATTTTAGTAGAAGATCAGATTAGGACAGTAGCATATAAAATGCTGGACGCTGGGAAAATTTGTTCCAGTATTTGGTAAAGGCTTTATAGTCATAGTTTGTGAAATGGAGATGAGAGTTGAGTATGTTCGTTCCAATATCTCAATTATTTATTTTTCCTTCTTTGCTTCTTACCTTTCCTCTTAATTCGAAACTTATTCTTAATGCAGAAGTTACTTGGACCTTTTTTTGTGTGTTTGATTTTTGTCTCGAATTACCCTGAAATGCTTTTGGGTTGTGATTAATTAGTCTATCAAAATTGTCACATTTAGCAGCTTTGTCTTTTTATATTCTGACACTTTGCAATTCTTCTAGTGTAGAGGTTTTCAAATCATGGGTTGTGACTCACTGGTGAGCTATGAAATAAATTAACATATTGCTAGCATTAAATAAATCAGAAAACATTATAATTAGTATGGGCAAGTAATGGCTTATGAAAATTTTATTTCAGAGAAGGCGTGTGTGTTTCTTATAGTGGTCAAAATTTTAAAAGGCACCTTTTTAGAATGTTTACCGATTTATGAGAAGACCAAATGGCGTTCATAAGGCACCATTGAAAGCTCTTTCTACATGAAACTGTCACAGATGGTCTTTCTCTTTAGGTAACTTTGTTTATTCTCCTTTTGTCTGCCTCTTGCTCCCTCCCATTTATATATGATTTGTAAAGTATGTCTTTCTTTTAATAAAATTCTTGTTCAATTTGATGTGTTTATTCAAAGGTATACCTTGAAAAGTCTTCTGGAATGAAGAGTTATAATTGGAAAACTTTACAGTAGGTAGTAAATTTTCAAAATGGTATATGACATATTAGAGCCACAAATCCAGTGATTACAACAATAGTTTTTATAATGTACTCTGCATAGCATTGCAGAGAAAGCCCATAAAGACTTTCAGGTATTATTTGTGTATAAAACCCAACAACCGTACTTTCCTTATTAGTCTTCTGGTACTAGTAATGCTTTTATTGTTGTTGCTGTTGGTTCAATACTTGAAAAGTAGGTAGCATAACAAAAGAGAATTAACAAAAGTGGTATCATGTAAACCATGAACCCAAAGACCTTTCTATGAGCAAAGGAAGGTAAGAGAGAATTGAAATTCCATTTATCCAGTAGAAAAGATAGCCTTTGTTTGGACTGTCTCCTACCTGGCATCCCTCCTGCCAGCAAGACAAAAGGAACAGGGGACACTTGTAATGGAGAGCACTAAGCTATGGACTGCTATGGACTGCTGGTGCTCTCCATTACAAGTATCCCCTGTAACCTTGGCCAGTAATTGACTTGGTAGCTTGGGGCAGGCCCAGCTTCAGGGGGACTGTGCACATTGTCCTGGTTGTGTGTCTGCCTCTGAGTAAGTGTGATTAGATGAGCTGATCTCTCTAAGGTCCTTTCCAGCTTTATTATTTGAATATGAGCCAGATTTGTATTCATTTGTGGGACATGGGGTGGTGGGTGATTTTAGATATAATGGGCAGAGATCTTGGACTTTGGAAACAGAAAAAAGACACAATTAAATCAGAAGAGTTTGAAGAATGAGGAAGGCTGGAGTGAATGATTATTTGTCTAGTATGTCTATAAAGAAAACATCTTGCCTCAGTATAGGTCTTATTGTTAAAAAGATGAACATTTTAAAGAACCTTTTCTAGAATCAAATTTGACTCAGGTTTTATATAAAAATGTCAGTAGTATTAAGATGGGTTAGGAAGCTTAGATTATTAATTGATACGGTTCTTTTTGGTAAGATTTTTGTATACTTCGTATGTGAGAAGAGAGAAAGAAGTTGGACATCCATGGTTTGTATGTCTGGCTGGTGTTTGAGGGCTCGATCACTTATTTGTTGATAAGTGAAAGGTAGGTAGATAGGTAATTAGAATTCTGCCATCTGTTGTCAGACAGGCTGTTTTAAATTTCATTGTCACCAGTGATCTTGGGCAAATAATTTAACTTTCTCTGTTTCTTAGTTTCCTCTTTTGCAAAATGGAGATCATAATAGTATCTTCTTTGTAGGATTATTATGAAAATTTGATAAATCAATCTGGGTGAAACAGTTAACACACTAGTCAAAAAAATGTTAGTTACCTATTGCTATGTATGACTTGACTTCTGGGAACCTATATAACCTGTAGCTTTGAAAGAGATTTTTTGATATTCAAAAATACTGCACAACTCTGGTGTCCATTTCCAAGGGTGTGGGTTTATATGCTGCAATACTTGGTACTCTAAGCCACTTTGTTTTGAATTTTGTCTTTTGTCACTTTGCTCTGGATTTTGTCATCACAGGGTATATAGTCTTGATGTTGATATGTTTCTGTTACATGATCAGTGTAAAAGTACAAGATAAAAAGGCTAAGTTTTAAGCTGAAAGATAAGCCAAAGTTTCTCAGATCTTTCAGCTTTTTAATTAAATGAGATAAAGAAGAAGAACATACCATGTACTGCATTGGGTAGGCACTTGGTAGGTTTTTGTTTTTTCATTTTTGTTTTTTGCTGTTACTGTTAAAATATCCTAAGAAATGATTGGTCTTTGAGTTACTGTTAATATAACTGAAAGAATAATTTTTAAATAAATTTCGTGATTATTGAAATGTTTCTCATAAAGAGATCTAATACTGTCGCATGAAAGTTTGTCAATAATTTTCCCCTACAGAAGAATTTGGTAGGGGCTCGGATAAGGTGGAGAGGCAGAAGGACTGTATTATAGTGGGTAAGCATTTAACAAATACAGAAAGCATGATAGGGGAATGTTTTTGTTAAGAATATTTTATATTCAAGAACTGAGGCCATTCGCATTACAGTACAGTGGTTCTTGGTTTAGGAGTTCATCTCTTTGGGGTACATAATGTTCCACTGTACTTACTGTTTAGTAGGTAAGTGGTGACTGACACTGACAGTTGCAAAGGGAGTGTATCAGTGTCAAGTAAAGGTTTATAACTGTGTTTTTTATTAACCTGCTTAAACTTTGGTTGATAATAGGGAAAACAACAACTGTCTTTCACTTCTTCTGTAATTCCTCTGTTTTTGTTTTTTGTATAATCTTGCTCCTGAAGAGAAGTGTATAGAGTTGATCCTGTCTTGTGATATGAAGAAGTTTGATATTCACAGCAGAGGAGGAAAAAACAGTAAATGAAAATTGAAGTAACCGCATATGATCACATTCAGTTATGGTAGTAATTTTCTTATCATTGCCTTCCTCTTTCTTCCCTGACTTTGAGGATTTAATCATAATTTTAAAGTGAAGGAGTAAAAAGTTTTAATGATCTTTCCCTGAAAATGAACAAATTACATTTGGTAAAATGTTACACCCTTCAGCCTGCAGTGTGAGAAGAGAGTCATGTCTTTTGATAGTTTGAGCTTACCAAGGGGTTTTCTGGGAGAAAACCTTCTTGAAGGAGAAAAACAAAATCTCATCAGATGGCAGCATTTTTCCCAAGGATGGATGGTGATTCCGATAAAGGATAAATGCTTTAAACCACCTTACCAGAAATTTCTTTCAAAAAGAAAAAAAGGAAGAAGGAAAAAAAAAAACTTCCCTTCTTTTGTTGTTTCTCATTTCCTCCCGCCCCACCCTGTTCATTGCCCTGCTTAAACTGTCTGGATCTGGTAGTAAATGTCCTGCTGTTGAAGCATTGGCCTTAGGTTTTTATGTGATGGAAGGTTGTTGCAGTCAGAGAAGAAGGTCTTTATTGTGTTTTCAAA